ATATTAAATCTTAAACTCCATATGATAGATAGGTAGGTCGGTTAAGGCGTGGGTAGTTATGACAATTCCATGTGGGTTGTGCACTCGTCATCAGAATGAAACCCGAAAAGTGAATAATATCCTTTTTTGTAATTTTTTTTTTTAAGAAAATGATTTTCCTGTGACATAATAATTCTTATGCAACATCTAGGTAATGTTGTTTTGCGATTCTTAAGCGGTTGTCCTGTTACTCCAAAGTTTTATTGAAACGTCTCATAGATTTAATTTATAATATTGCTAAAATGTCGCGAGAAAATATGGATACATTATTACATGCATGTTGGCAAAGACTGCCGATTAGGAGCTGTAGGAATATTGTTGCAACTCCACTGCGACTCCTATAGCGATGTTACGTGTTTCAATAAAACATAGCTACAACATCGAAGCGATGATTAATTGCACAGTCGGGATGTCTTGATCATAAAATACAATAATCTATATAATAAATCTTACTGTACTACCCCGCACTACCATGCATATGAGTAAAGGTATTATATATATTGTCCTCTAAATAGCCCATTATATATTGCCTTGTTTTCCATACACTCATTTCTAGTCTATAAGTATAAGGTCTATGGGTTTATGGCATATAAAAGTCCAGCGACGCAGAGTACGCACTCAGGTGCATTTGAACCACCTATTATGGTGGGTTGAGTGGATGGGTAAATTAAAAAATATCCAAGGTAATTAATACTATTACTAAAGTAAATATTTACCTAATAGGTACTTACACACGTGAGATTTACGTATCAGGTACTTAGGTAATGTATTATTATAGCATTACTCTATTATCATATTATAGTAGCCTGTATCGTTCTATATACCTAAACAAATTTCTATGAAAGTGTAATAATTATATGTGATTATTAATTATCTTTTCCCAAATCTGAAATGATCTCAAAACCCAAAATTCTGGATTACAGAGCTTTTTCCCTAATAAATTTACAAGGCTCTTTAAATCACTTAATATACTCTATTAATATTCTCAAAATTAAAAATCATCAAAAATCAATTGAGAACATCAATTTCTTACGTTAATTTAGAATAATTGATGATTATATTTTCTGTGAGTCTGATATTGATGTAGATCAGCTTAAGGATAAGTTTACTAGCACTTAATATGTGTAACCTATCAAAACTTTTAACCTAATTGTTGATAAGCTTCATTTTAACTGGAATATTGAATTTTAAATGTTTCTTTGTGAATCAAAAATCACAAAATAATGTTTCTATAATAATATGTATGTATTAACATATTATATTATTATACTAGCTGAATAACCTGATTATAATAGATGTATCCCGGTTTTAGTGTACCTCAATTCATGACTTTAAAACGTTCATTTTAAAAATCCAATCCAAATATTAATTGTAATATGCCACATCTTCCGTTAAAAACTGATAACTAGGCACGGATGTTGTAGTACTAAAAAAATAGTAAAATTGATTGCAGTATTGCACTAAAAAATACCAAAAATTGCACTTAAAATATTAAAAATTGCACTAAAAAATAACAACGTTTTGTTATAAATGTTTTAAGTTTACTGTTATAAATTATAATCTAAAATTCTAAATAATTAAAAAAAAAAAAAATATATTCATTACATTATAATCATGCCATTATAAATTTATTATATTATACATCATTGCACTGTACTATAAGTGTTTGTTTTAAATTTTCGAAATCAAACCATCTTCGATTTAGAGCTAGTAAGTTCTTATATCTCGAAAAACTTCATTCTACGTCGGTTGATGTAAGCTAGCGGAGCGTATTTAAAATAAGATAAATCGCTTACCTACTGTTAAGTCTTCGGGTAAACCATCGAACGATTTTCTTTGTCCAGTTAGTATATCATTGATTTTAATAATGGTTTTAAGTCATATATAAGTTTTTAATATTGCTAAAATAGTTGTATAAATGAGTAAATTCGACAAAATTGCAATGAAATTAAAAAAATCCCAAAAATTGCAAAAAATTGCACTTAAAACTTTTAGATTTGAATTCGTACTTACATGAAACGTATTTAAAACTTACTTAGCAATTAATTGAAAAAGTAGAAAAAAAGTTGCAAATGCAACATCATTCGTGCCCTACTGATAACTAATAAACAATATCATATTATTATTGATATGAAACTTTATATGGTTTTTAATTTTATTGGTTCACAGTTTGACTCTTATCTCTATGAAGCATTCAAGTGTTATCTGATGGCCTTCATCTTATATTTGTTTGTTCATGAGCCGTTTGCGAAATTAACTAAAAAACTGTTTCATCAGAGGTAAGTTATTATAATTAATTTTAGTTTTTTTTTTTAACTTTGTAAGTTATCGATCGTCCAAAATATTAAGAATGTAAGATCCAAATAAGACTTTTCCAATTTTTTTTTTTGCGCCAATAATTAGTACTCAATTCCTGTGAATTCCTGCAGACTAGGTTTTTACAATTCCTGCTCTAATACTCTAATAGTTTTCCCGAACAGTCAAATTTCCACCGAGTGGGGCTGGGGTAACGTGCGTTACAAGATGGCATTTTTGTTTTATTTTAAATTTAATTGTATTTGTCCTAATATATTTTATAATAATACCTGAAGAAGACGTATCTTATCTACACTTGCAAACAAACCTGCAGTAGGTACTTTAATTCCAAAGGTGTGCATTAACTTGTTAAAAAGTGAAAGTTAATTTTTTTTTAACTTAACTAGTTAATTATTTTTGTTTTTAACTTATTAACTTATTCAGTTAAAATTGTTATTGTTGTAACTTACTTTTTATAGTTAATTATCATTGTAATGCAGTTAAGTTAATTTTCTTTTCTAGTCATGCTTAATCAAGTAGGCAATACTGATTTGTTGACTATTTTACGATTTTGGTAATTTATTTTCGAATTATATATTATAATAATCTAATTTTACACAGTGTTAAATGTTTGTGTATTACAAAATACTATGGTAGTTTATGACTTAAAAATATTGTACCTCCAAAAAAATTAACTTTTTTTAACAGAGAAAAATTAATTTTATTTTCTATCCTAACATTAAACTAATCTAGTCAATTTTTTTTTCTTTGTTCACTTTTAACTTACTTGAAGGCAATTTAATTGAATTAACTTAACTTGCCACAGTTAATTATTTTCATTAACTTGCCCACCATTGTCTAATTCTAATACGCCGTTCTTAATATTACTTTTTAAATAATAATTTTATCCAAGCCAATCTTATATAATGAGTTTGTCATAATAATAATAATATATAATAAATTATCATTCATTATATAATTATGTATAGAGCAAATAGGTACCTACTACCTACTATAGGTATAATTATAATTTAATAATCTTACTTTTTTTATATATTTTTAGGAAAAGTATAAGCTCGTTGATCAAGAATAGAACACCGATCAAAACACCAGCTCCCTGCAGCAGTAAAACTATTAAAAACGACTAAGCTATCTTATAAATAATTAGTGACTCCATTATGCGGTTGGTACAGCAGCAATATACTATTATTGAGTAGCATTGTAGCATTCTGTACAGTGTACAACTATTGCGTCGCTAGTACCTACGTATGATAAAATAAAAATAATTAAATTATAATTGTCATTGTAATCTGTTTTAAATTTGAGGCAAGTTTAAAGTTATATGATCTATCAGCCATCATCTTAACGTAAAATTTGCAATATTATTATGATGCGTTAGTTGTAAGACGGAGATGACACATACCACCTGCATGAATAACGTGCTTTTTATAGTAATATAATACAAGTATAAAAAACATGTTGTATAATCTATACTAAATATGTTATCTTTATATCAATTAATTTTAGATCCTGAGTGGGGAAAATAAATGTATTGATTTTACAGTGATGTATGTTTTTTTTTCTGTCCATCAGCAACATTTTGTATAGCGAAATCAGCATTTTTCTGATATAAAAGTGAATCTAGTTTGTACTTTTGGGATGTCATAAATCAAAAATTCCAAGTATTTTAAGATAACCTCAATAAGAAAACAAAATAAAAGTGAAAAAGCTGTAATTACTTGGTTTTACTCAAAACCAAGTCTTGAAAAAATGGATTTTATTTTTGTGGGGGCAACTCAAAAATTAATAACCATAAGCCCTTGGTATGTTCACCAGATATTAATAATAGCATTTTCCATAAATTGTAACAATTATAAAATATTTAGACTCTTTTTTTGATTTATAATTGTAGCCTTAATTTTTTTAATTATTCTCGATAAAAATTGAAAATATTGAAAAATACTAGGTTCCTTATAAGTTTCATTAATTGAAGTTCAGAAGTATTAAAGATACATTGGCTCAATAATTTTTGATCAAATTTTGATAAAATTCTTTATCATTGAATTAAAATATGACATATCCATTACAGCAACATGTGCCTCTTATTCGATAACTACTGTACAGCAGAGTGGTACCCACTTCTCCACCTTTAAAATATTGATATTAGTCTTTTAATAATTATTATTTGTGATTGATACATTTAATAACCATTTTCTCCGTTTATTTCTTGACTTATGGACTTGTCCCAGGTATAATCAATGTATAGTGATAACAATTACGTCTCAACATTATTAATTTTTTCATTGTTATTAACTGGGTTTTTTATTGTTTCGCTTGTGTTAACTTATCTATTCTGACGGTGTCTATGCATATTCGTCATCAAAAATCAAAAGTCATTTCACTTGTTTCTTAATCGAGTACGCTGTCGGGTGTATTCAATTTATGAGACAGCTGTAGTTCTCATTGTCGTCTCTGGATTACGTTGGAGTGGTAGTCTAACCTACAGTTACTAGGGGCTGGAGTCATCATATTTGTTCACGTTTAAGTGGTTGACAGTTTACTAAGTAATTGGCGCATATACCTAAAATTACGTTTTACTTTTCTTTTTTATCATTACTGATAACTCCGATCAGTTATCAGCTGAGCTAAGCAAATGGTCAAAACCGATGCTCATTGAGCTTATACTTAAAAAGTCCACCACTACATCTGTTAAGCTGAGTGAGGATCTACAATCGACATTATTCGGTGCTAGCTATGATATTGTTCCGACCCCTGGAAATGACTCTGTTGGTATTGTGAATATCCTTCAGTTCGTCGCTGCAGAATTAAAGTCCATCGCAAAAAGTAATGTTAAATTGCATGACAAGTTGAACAAACTGAACTCAGGGAAATCCCTCGCTGTTTCTTCTGGTATTCAGAGAACTTTGATTAGTTCTTCTAGTTAAGCTATTAAACCCAATGTTTTACTCACGGAGAAATTAAAAGCAGCTAGCATCTCTAAGCTTCCCAAATATGTGGATGGCTCCAATCATAATTCCGCTTCTACCTTATCTGCTGCTCCAGTGGTCAAGTTTGGTGAAATAATTGTATCCCAGTTTGACCCTAAAGTCGATGCATCCCAGATCAAAAATTAACTATTTAGCAATATTGATGCCACTGTTACTCAAATGGTTACAAAGCATCCATCGTATGCCTCATTCCATAAACGTGTCAATGCTTCAAAGTTAACAGAAATACTTCAACCTTCTTTTTGGCCAGAAGGGATTATGATCAAACGCTTCTGGGGACGTCTACTTCCTCAGAAGATAGCTGTCCCACTGGTTTAAAAAAACTAATTCAGACTAGGAAAAATACTTTTGATGCAAACATTCCTGTAAATGCAGTTTCGTCTAATATTAATGTTTCTTGTAGTACTAATGTTAATGTTAATTTTAATTGTTCAATTGATACCCCCTTTGAGTAGGTATATCAAACTTGCCGTGGTTTAAGAACTAAAATAGCAACTGTCAATCGCAATATATCTGCTTTTAATTATGTATTCGTTAACTGAAATATGGTTACGCTGTAATATTTTTTCTAGTGAATTAGGATTTATCAACTATTATATTTTTAGATGTGACAGATTAATTGAAACTAGCACCCACAATAGAGAAGGTGGGGTCCTCGGTGGTGTCCATCTGATATTCCTGTGCATACTCTCCCTATACATTCCTTTAGTGTTGAACACGTCTTTTTTGCTTTGCTTTGCTTTGATTGGGAGCCAAGAAAGACTTAGCTGTGTTAGTAAGTGTCAGGCGATGCCTATAACTTATGTTTGAATTTCTGTGACTGATTGTCAGGGTGTGGTATACTTTATAATTTCGAAAAATTGATTGGCCTTGGTCGGCGTGTGTGTAATTGAGGAGCTGTTGATGTTCCAATATCACGGATGTGGGCGAATGTTGATTGGGCATTTCTGTGATGAAATACCCTAGCCGCTAGTTTTGCTTCATTTCGTAACGAGTTTAAGGGTGGGTTTAAGATTGCGTTGTTTATGGCGAGGAAGTGGGCACCTGTGATAATCCGGATCGCCACGTTTTGAACAGCCTCTCTCTATGCCCAGTTAGATGTACAGATGAGAGGACCCCATGCGTAGGAGGCATAAAGTAGGATTGGTTTAATGTACAATTTATAAATTAAGAGTCTGGTTGGCAATGAGATGAGTGATCTGCTGTTTAATATCGTGTATAGTGCCCCTCTGGCTTGCTTAGCCTTTCTGATGCAGGGCTTGACATGTTCGTGTAGTCGCATGGCTTTATCTAGTGTGACGCCGAGATAGGAGGTCTTGTTTTTCCAGTCAATTTGTTGGCCTAGTATTTCGATTTTACGCGCGGGTGCTTTTCGCCTGTTACCGAAAAGTATGCATACAGTTTTTAGTGTGTTAAGTTTTAAACGCCATTTTTGAATCCAGTCGGTTGTTGTTGTGACATGGCGTTGAAGACGGATTATGGCGAAGTTTATCGACGTGATACTGGAGTAAAACAAGGTGTCGTTGGCAAACAATGAGGTAGTAACATGAGGTGAGGATGGGAGATCATTAATGTAGTGGATGTATAATAGGGGAGAAAGGCATGACCCCTGTGGAACTCCTGCTTCGATTGTTCGGAGGGTTGATTTGAGGTCGGAGATTTGGATTCTGAAGTTCCGATTCGATAGGAAGGATTTTATGATTTTTATCAGGGGTGTGGGGACGGTTGACATTGCGTGGAGCTTGTGGATTAGTCCGTCGTGCCACACTCTATCAAACGCTTTCTCCATATCCAAGAATATTGCAACCGTGTGTCTGTTATTGTTGGTGTTGATTACTAGGTCGTCGATCAGTTTCGTGAGTTGTGTAGTCGTCGAGTGTCCGTGTCTGAAAGCGTGTTGTTCTGTTCTTGGTTTGATATATTTGGTGAGATGTCATATTTAGGAGGATTTTTTCAAATACTTTTGACATCGTGACGAGAAGTGATATTGGCCTGTAGTTGTTTGGTAGGCTGTGGTTTTTATTAGGCTTGGGAATCATGACGATCGTGGCAGTTTTCTAGGAGGTCGGAAAGTAGGAATGTCTGAGACAAGCTGTAAATAAGTTGCTCAGTCTTACGATGGCAGGGGCTGGAAGGTACTTTAGTGCAGCGTTTGTAATGTTGTCATGTCCAGGGGCTTTGACGGACGGTAGATTTTTAATAATTTCGAATACTTCCTTTGGGGTAGTGAAAAGGTTTGACTTTGCGGAGTAACTGTTGAGTTCATTGATAGATTGATTGACCTCCAAAAGGTCGTTCCTTGGGTTGGCGGTGAACTGGTCTTTCATTGAATTGGCAAACAGTTCCAGTTTGGATTCAGTGTCATAGATTTTTTGACCGGAGTTTGACGTCAACGGAGCGGTAGCTGGCTTCTTGTGAAGTAGGCGCTGATTTAATTTGTAGAGTGATCGATCTTGGAAATTTACTGTGGATGTGAAACGGTCCCATGCTAGTTGATGATGTTCTTTAAGGAGGTTTCGGACGTATGTTATTTGGGCGTTTAGCATTGTCTTTACTGATGGATCCCTAGTTCGTTGCCAGTCTTTCCTTAGGATCCGTTTGGTGGCAATCTCAAGTAGGATATCTGGGGAGAGTGGCTCTCTGGTGTGAGGTTTGTTGATGAGGTAGGAGCTTTTTTCGGTTGATGACTGGATGAGTGTGGTAAATGAGTCAACCTCGTTGTCTATTTCTGTTGGGTTTGATAATTTGGTCGTCTGTTTTGGAGATTCAAGCAATAGTTCTTGCTCAAATTTTTTCCAGTTGATTCTTTTCTTGGCAGCCGGAGGATTGATTGTAATAAGAGAGTCGCTTATAGTCATAACAATTGGGTTGTGGTCTGAATTTAATTCATTATGATTAGTAAGGACATATTCTCTGTGCGGGAGGTTTACAAGTGCTATATCCAGGATCTCTGGCCTGTGTAGTGAGTTGTGAGAGTGGTGTGTTGGGGAGTCAGGTGCGCAAATGGAGTGTGTGTTAGATGTTTCCATGTGTTGGTGGAGGATTCTGTCCGCTTTGTTTGTGGTGCGACAGTTCCAAGACTGATGTTTTGCGTTTAGGTCTCCAGCTGCTAGAAAGAGGCCATTCTGATTTGTTAGAATGTCCAGGTCGTTGGTAAGCAAGAGAGAGTTAAGGCTTTTGTACATAGAGGTTATATGACGTTTCCAAGTTTGATTGAGACTGTAGTAGACTCAAGGGAAGTCTTAATATCCTCTTGGTTGTGAATTATGTTTTTGTGTACAAGTATGGCAGTTCTACCCGCTGGAGAGGATCTGGGTTTAGGTGGGTGGTCTTGACGATAGGTAAAATAGTTTGGAATCTTGAGTGTGGTTGATGGGTTTAATTTAGTTTCTTGGAGGAGAATGATATGAATGTTGTTGAGACGAGACAAGGTGAGTAGTTCATTGTTTTTATGCTTGATGCCATTACAGTTCCAAAAGAGAATATTAATGCTATTCATTTTGGGCTGAGAATTCTGATATGATTGTCATGATGGTATTTATGATGGAATCTTTGGTGGAGGCGTCCTTACATTCTTGGGCTGAACCTAATAGTTTGTGAATTATAGACAGTACTTTGGTGGCCGTTATAGAGGGTTCAGTTACTGCTGGTATTTGGCCGCTGGTGACTTCAGCGAATGATGGTTTTGAGTGGATCTGCGATGAAGTGTTGTCGAGACATGTAGATGGTTCTGGCGGAGTTGGGCGATTATTGATTCTAATTTTGTTATCGCGGCTTCGAGGATTGCTGGACTGGGCTTCTTTTTGTTTCATGAGGTTTATGTAGAAGGGGCATCCACGATAGTTAACGGTGTGGGCGCCACCGCAGTTGCAGCAGTTGGGCGCGACTTCAGGGGGTTTGGTGCACGAGTTTGAAGCGTGGGTGTCACCACACTTGACGCATCTTGAAGAGTGACCGCATTGGAGGGAGGAGTGGCAGAAGTTTTGGCATTTGTAGTATTGTGCTGGACCAGATGTTCTGTACGGCTCGATATTGACGTTGATAAAAAAAGAGTTTAGATATTTGGTATATATCTTTAGCTAGTTCGAGGTTTGCAAGAGTGACCATGTGTAGAGGAATTCTATGGCCGTTTTTTGAGAAGGCTCTGATAAATGTTGGTTCAAATTCATTGGATTTGAGTTCATCGATTATTTCTTGGTCTGTTATATCAAGAGGAATGCCTTTGATGACTATTTTTAGTGTGCGTTGACTAGGAAGTGCATGAGTGTGGAATCCTACTTTATCTTGAATGGATGCAAGAAGAGATTGTACTGAGCAAAAAGAGACTTCGTCTGGGCAGTTCAGTTTGATTTTGTTGAGTTTAGAGGTGGTAATTGCTTCTACATATTCGTGTCCGGGTGTATCATAAAGACTTTTGGCTATAGTGCGCCATGGGTACTCAGGTTTTGTTGTCAAGAATATAGGCGGGAGTCTTTTTGGGATGGACTGGCGGTCGATTATAGAGGACTGGTGACTGCTTTCGTTGTCTTCTATGGTTGATGATTGAAGTGAATCTTCTGATAATCTTCTGAAAAGTTAGTGTTGGCTTGAGTTTTATTTGATACATGATTTTTATCTGAAGTAGATGCTGGGTTTTTCTGAATGGTTTTTACACCTTGATGAAGGTTTGATTCCTGAGTGAGTGAGTTAGAGAGTATAGACTCATTGCTGTCCCAGCTATCTTCCGAGTTTATAGATACGGACGAAGGGGTTGGAGATTTTGGCTCGTTGCGAGTTTGTTGATTACTGGAAGACGGTGGATTTCTTTGGCGGAGTTGCCTGGAGGTTTGAACTTTGACTGGTGGCGGAGTGTTGGATTTTTTGCTGTTTTTGCGATGTACGCCGGCGCGGTGGTTGCCCATGGTGGTTGGGAGCGAGCGGCTTGTGACCCGGCTACGTTCACCCCTCAGGTGCACTTGCCTCGTGATCAGAGGGGAAGTAATAGAGAAGTTTATACTTACGAAGTATGGTGGTCTTGGTTGTGTTTTTGCTTCATAGGTATGGTGGCTTTTCGAGTGTTTTCCTGCTGAAGACTTGACGACTTGACTACTTGATGACTTTGATGATGATGAACACGTCTTTGTCAAGGTTAACTTCTTAAATACTGTTTACATTTAATGCTGCGTTTACTTTCGCCCTAACTCACCTGTTACCGCCTATGAATTGTTTACTACTGGAGTCGAAAATGTGGTAAGTCACAATGATGGATGTATATTTATAAATTGTGGCAACTTCCATCTTCCCAATACTACTTATTCTAATGATACGCATGGGGTTACTTACTCTACATTATCACACATTAGTGTTTCCTGCGTCCCTGAATGATTTTTTTCTCTCAACTTCTTTCAATTAAATAATGTTCGAAATCATTATAAAACCATATTAGGTCTAGTATTCATAAACAAAGATGACCTAGTTATAAAGAAGGCTGCTGAAAATGTTATACCTGAAGATCATTATCATCCAACTCTTATCTTCGAATCTGCTGCTTCAGTTATTCTTGCTGCAAGTTCCTATTCTCCTCAAGTTTTCTTTAATTCCATTTGATTTCATTCGAATTGATGATTTCCTTAATTCATTTAATTGGACTGATACTCTTTTACCCCTATCTTCTTCTTCTCGGTCGAACGGCTTTCGCCTATTAAACTATTCCAGGCTGTTAGCCTTTGCTAGTCGCAGGATGTCTGACTGATTTGGTTGGGTTATTTTAGTTCTTTGCCCAGAATTTAGCTCTAGGGCGTTGTGTGAATCTCAAGTCAGGTGGTGGGGGAATGATCTGACCTATGCTCCTGAGGTGGTTGTACTGCGACTTTGAGCATCGGTAAAACACTGCTGCAGCATTCTTCCTGATGGTGTTCCTGACAGTGTCAAAACCAGCTGTGTTTAGGAGAACCGAGTTTTGCACTATGGTCGGTTGACCCAGGATGGTTCTTATACCTATAGTTTGGACAGCTTCAATTTTCTTCCAGGAGGATCTGCAGAGGAATGGTGCCCATGATGCACCGGCATACGTTAGAATTGGTTGTACGTACATTTTAAAGAGGTTTAGTCTCGTCCTAGCTGGGATTGGGCATTTTTTGTTAAGAACTGGGTAGAGGGATCCTCGCTTTTTGGTTGCTTTTTTGACAATCGTTTCAGCATGATTCGAGAAGTTGAGCTTGTGATCAATTGTAACTCCGAGATATTTCACGTTATTTGACCAAGAGATTTTGATGTTGTTTATTTCGAGTTTGATGTTCAATTTTTGTGTACGACCGAAGAGGATTGCACTGGTTTTTTCCTCGTTTATTCCGAGGCGCCCCTTTTTAAACCACTCTGAGGCTATGTTTATTTGGCGTTGGAGTGTTGCGTATCTCGCATTGAGCTGTAAAACATAGTGTAATATGCAAACAGTGACACATTCGCACGATAACGGGTATGCCCACTATCGTTAAAAATTCGGTCCTTCTAAAATCAGCAAATTTCAAGTCAATCAAAAATTCTATTCATAGCCAATCCAAATCGATGTTCTACAAAAACTCTTTCTCTACTCATGCCCACATCCGACTCTTAGGGAAATCTCACACCCCACCAACCACAAAGTGTAAAATCAAACCCTACCCTTTGACATGGGTTGACCAACAAATTTAAAACCACCTTCCTAAACATCCATCCACTAGTAGAGGCAAAAGCCTGGTATAGTTTCACGGCTTAGCCATCCCCCCAAAGCAAAGCAAAGCAAACAGTGACACATGGGCTTTTGGCTCTGTGGGCATGCCATTTGTATAAATGTTGAACAACGTGGGAGAGAAGCACTCTTCTACAGCAATCAATTTAGGTGATCTCGAAGAGAATAGACTACCTCATGAGCTACCATCTTCTTGTCACGTGAGCCTAGACGATGTCTTAATACAACTTGGAAAGCTTCGAAATATAACATCAGTTGGCCCTGACGGTCTTTCAGGTTATTTTCTTTACTTTATAAGAGCTTCTCTGTGTTACCCACTATTGTTTGTGATAAGTAAATCGCTGTATTATAAAGGTTTATTTCCAGATATCTGAAAAATCAGCTCAGTGATACCAATTTTTAAATCAGGTTAGGTTAGATGTCTTGAACGACAGGCCGATTTCTATTATTAGCCATTTAGCTAAGCTAATGGAATCCATTGTTTTAAGTAGTATCTCGCGTCCAGTTATTTATATTTTAATTGATGAGCAGCATGGTTTTAGGACAGGGGGCTCAACCACTACATGTAATGCCATTTTCTTAGAGTATGTCATGGATGCATTCCATGATCACTCTCAAGTTGACGTGATTAATACGGACTTCGCCAAAGCATTCGACCGTATTAATCACTCTGCTCTTATAACCATACTAAAATCAGTAGGTTTTGGGGAGCCGCTAATATCTTGGTCCAGATCGTACCTTTCCAATAGAATACAATATTTAAAAATTAACGGACTTTGTTTTGAACCAGTTAATATAACGTCAGGTGTAACTCAAGGAGGGCACTTGTCTCCGGTCCTCTTTTCTTTATCTGTAAACAGCATTAAAAGTGTCTTAAAACACTGCCAATTACTCATTTTAACCGATGATATAAAGTTGTTCCATCGTATCAGTACCCCTCAGGATTGCATCCTTCTTCAAGATGCCCTTAACTTCTAGGTCACCTGGGCTACAACCCATGGGTTGGATCTCTGTATCATTAAACGCACTTTTATGGCTATTATTTCGTTCTCTTAGTTCTTCTATTAGTTTTAAAAAATCTATATCTGGTGTACTCCTCGAATCTGCTGGTAGGTCTATAAAAGATTTTGGTATAACATTTGATCGGCGTCTTAAGTTTAATGTTCACTTTGACTTAATTTCTTGTAAAGCAATGAAAATGCTAGGGTTCTTGCTCAGAATTTTTATGGACTTCAAGCTGTCTACTTTCTTAAAAGTAATTTTTTCGCTCATTTGTTCGTTCCATAATAGAGTATGAGGCTGTAATTTGGTGCCCAGCAACCATGAGTGACAGCTACCAACTTGAAAGAGTCCAACGCAAGTTTCTGAAGTGGCATCTAACATTTTATCAATTGATTGTCCTCCTCATGACTATAATCCAGTACTTTTCCACCTTGATTTGCCGGCTTGATAGGAAAGTTCAAACAAACATATCATTTTTGACAAAACAGATTGATGGTCGAATTGACTCACCTATTCTTTTAAACAAACTTAATTTTAGAATCCCAGTTTTTAATTGCCTTGATGATTTTCCCTTCCATATTCCCTTTGGTTTTGTGAATTATTTGCGAAACAGTAATATGTCACTTATGATGAGATTAGCGAACAAGGATCCATCATTTCTATTGGGGGACTAAACCAGTCCTAAGGTATCGTTATTACCCTATTCTGTTAATTTAATTTTTTATATATTATACTGTACATACTTTAGTTTTAAGATTAATTTCAACATTTGTATTGGGCTCGTCCCGTTTCATAAAGAAATAAATATATAAATAATGGCTTCTTCCTAATATCTTTGGAATGCTGTAAATTTTATTATAATATTGTACGTCATAATATCAATTTTTGAACGATGATGGTTCAAGAGACATTAGTGAATTTCTATAATATCTAAAGTCATGGATTAAAATATTACATTAAAATACTTATTTATAAATATAACATAAATATATGCAGCATAAACGTGAGTAAACATTTGGTTGCAATTTTGTTGGAAGAACTAGCATATCTGATATATTAATTTTATAAATTAAATAAATGCCATTTAAATTGATAATAAAATAGAATTTGTCAACGGAACACATTTCACAAGCATCGTATTATATATTTTTTCGAACCCATGAGCCGTCCTTTATTTAAATTGAATATGATACAGTGATGTTCAGTATTTATATGTAAAATGTACGATGTATACATATTAACCAAGTAACATCTTAGTAGGTATCTAAAATTTGTGAGTGATTTACAGCTGTGAAATGATGAGAATTCTGAAAATTTGTAAATACAAACTTTTATTGGCGTTATGCCTACTTCGGGATTGATTTTCTCAAGTTTTTGATTTTATCCACCTAAACCCCTAAAAAGTTTCGTATTTCAATTTAAAATCAAAAATTTGAGAAAGTCGAACAAATAATAAATTAAGTATGATAACTATAAATTCAAAGGGTATGCTTATCGTTTCACAAGAACGGCCGTTGACAATAGAACACAATATCTTAATTCTATGTAGCGCGTATGTTAGACAAAAACAGATAATCACCGCTTTCGATCCCGCCGGTTTGTATCGTGTCAAAAGTCTAAAAAGAATCCATAAATTAAGTTAAGCTCCCTTGGATAATAACACGTTTATGCGTGTAAATGTGGATGTGTGTGTGCTGGAAAAAAATGCTTTAAACAAATTACACCGACGCGCGTGACTACAATTTTTTTGTATTTACTTGGTTTAGGTACCTATAGCTGTAATGTTGTAATAACAACTGCATAATGTTTACAATATGTACATAGTTTTTGCTTTGCTTTGAATTGGGAGCCAGGGAAAAACCCCAGCTGTGTTTGTAAGTGTCAGGCGATGCCTATAACTTATGTTTGAATTTTTTAATGGCTGGTTGTCAGGATGTGGTGTATATTATTGTAATTTCGCAAAGTTGATTGGTCTTGGTCGGCGTGTGAGTATTTGAGGAGCTGGTGATGTTCCAATGTCGCGGATGTGGGCGAATGTTGATTGGGAATTTCTGTGATAAAATACCCTAGCCGCTAGTTCTGCTTCGTTTCGCAAAGAGTTTATGGGTGGATTTAAGATAGCGTTGTTTCTGGTGAAAAAGTGGGCACCTGTGATTGTACGGATCGCCACGTTTTGGACTGCCTCTATTTTTGCCCAGTTTGATGCACTGATGAGAGGACCCCATGCCGAAGAGGCATATAGTAAAATTGGTTTGATATATAATTTATAAATTGAGAGTCTGGTTGGCATTGGGATGGGTGATCTGCTGTTAAGTATCGGGTATAGTGCCCCTCTGGCTTGCTTAGCCTTCCTGATGCAGACCTTGACGTGATCATTTAGGCGCAGGGCTTTGTCTAGTGTGACGCCGAGATAGGTGGTCTTGTTTTTCCAGTCGATTGTTTGGCCTAGTATTTGGATTTTTCGCGTGGTTTCTTTTCGGCTGGTTCCAAAAAGTATGCATACCGTTTTTTGAGGGTTCAGTTTTAAACGCTATTTATTAATCCAGTCGGTTGTCGTGGTGACTTGGCGTTGAAGACGGATTATGGCGAAGTTTTTCGACGTGTTACTAGAGTAAAACATGGTGTCGTCGGCAAACAATGAAGTAGTAACATGAGGTGAGGATGGGAGATCATTGATGTATAGAGTGTATAATAGGGGAGAAAGGCATGACCCCTGTGGAACTCCTGCTTCGATTGTTCTGAGGGTTGATTTGAGGTCGGAGATTTGAATTTGGAAGTTCCGGTTTGATAGGAAAGATTTAATGATTTTTATCAGGGATGTGGGGACGGTTGACATTGTGTGGAGTTTGTGGATTAATCCGTCGTGCCACACTCTGTCGAACGCTTTCTCCATGTCCAAGAAAATGGCAGCCGTGTGTCTATTAGTACGTAGTCATAGTACCTACACTGCACTGCTATATAGTGTATAATATTATGTTAACGCCAATCGGCTTTTACAATATTGAACATAATGAAGGTACCTACATACATGGGCGCCCGCAGGGGGGTGCCATAGGGGCCATTACCCCCTGGGAATTTTTAACTGCATGCTCTTTAATATCAATATCGCTATAACTAATATTATATTATAAATAATTTTTATCTTGCCCCGTGTGGGATTTAATTTGCGGGCACACTTGCCTACATAACAAAATATACAAGTATTAAAGTAACATATAGGACAATAGGAGCGATATATAAGTGATAAGAATAGATAAATATAATATAATATGTATACCTATATATAAATTTCCTTCAAGTTGACCTTCAATATTATTTAATATAGTGATGATTTTATACATTATTTCGCTAAATATTATGAACGTGAATATCGCTGGTGGATTAAAACATCAGTATTTTAAAATAAACACATCGTATTCAATCGAAATTATAATTCGAAGGTGCGCATATAAATTACTCGTGGATATTACAAAAGGTTAGGTCAGGTAAATCTGATGTGATATACTCATAAAGAACATTTATATTAAAAATTACCATATACTACCTACATATTTACATCACAATGTGTATATTTTCCATCTGTAAGACAAACTATACAATTATTATTTAGTGGTTGTGGTAATAATATACAAGGTGATTATAAATATTTTGCATAACTTTGAATAATATAGATAAATGTATTTTACTCATATACTGTGAACATCAACCCCGAGCGATATGTTCTCCGATTATAAACAACCACCTGCGGTGTCACGCTCACAATAATAACCAAACTTGTGAAAAACGTACTATGATGTGTAGTCATAATATTAAATATAATTGTGTGTAAAATATAAATTTGATTTGTTTCCTAGATCATTCAGTAGAGTGTTTTGTTTTTCCATACAAAAATATTACTTTAACGAAGACAATAATAATAATATAATAGCATTCAATACAAATCCATTATATTATTATGTCACGACCGCTACTGAAGATTGCTTTGTTTGCGTCGGTGTTACTGAGCGTTTTATTGCAGACGGCCGACTGTGCGGGAGCTGACATCGGTGACCACATTTTGCAGCGGGATGCTGCCACTGACCAAATACCCGGTCTTTGGTTGTCCGATCTGTTTTACCGGGCGCTAGCCAACTTCACCTTGCAGCGGGCGGACGGCACGGCTTGCCGCCACCAATCCGCGTTGTACGAGGCACATTTGAGAAATCACACCAGTTGGGCTGTCAGAAGTGAGTGATTATTATATTGTAATAGGTATATTAATTATTTGCAAATTATTTCCTTGTTGTACTTAGGTGACAAGCTCAGTGTATAAAATAAAATAGAAATAAGGGCTAACGTAAGAGTTTGTAATATTTTAAACTCTCCGAAAAACTGCAGAAACATGTGATGGAGATTTTATAATAAACCAAAACAATATTTTAATTTCAAAAATTATACAATTTCCAAATAATATCATTAAAATGTACGTTTTTAAATACAGTTCAAAATGTTTTACATCATAAAAATCGTACATATTAATTTTAAAAATCCTTTATACATTCATTGCTATAATTAATAATAATATAATATATTATTAATTGTAATGTATAACACGCAGATGATAATAATACTTGCGTAATCAATCCGTGGTTATCGTTACCGTTGTGTACCTAAATAACTAATGTGTAGACCTACTCTCAATGGCGACTCGTGCCTAGTTGTGCAGGTGTGCGCACATCGCATAGATTAATATAGATATAATAGTAAAAGTTTATTTCAATTTTTTTAATTGTTTAAATTCAATACCTGGTAAACTGTATATTTACTCTATAAGACAAAATTCAAAAAAAAAATTCAATTTTCAAAACATTTGATATTCTCTTAAACATGATGACTACTGTACACCGTATCATTGGGTAATAATAGCCTGTGGTAGACAGTAGTATGACTTAATGTTAGGTCCGTGAAGTCGGTGATGTACGATTGCGTACGATTGTCCCTTTTAGTAAAACGATTGCGTACGTTTTTAGGATTGCGTAAGATTTCTCTATGACTTTCATCTCTAGGTCAGTGAAGTTAACGGGATTAGTAAAAATACAATTTTACCTTAACGACTGTTGTGCTGATCCCGTAGCTATCACAACCATAGGCTTGCGCTAGGACTTTTGGTTCCGGGTGTGCACACTAAAAATTAGGGCCGACAATAATTTTGAAACAATTATAGATACAGACAAATGTTTTAAAGATATCGCCCTGGTCAAAATTCCACACCTATCAATAACATCTACATCATTAAATGAATTATCATCTGACCACAATCCAGTTCTTCTGCAAATCAATGAATCTCCAATAACTTCTTCACCTCCAACCCCCGTAAACAGAATAAACTGGAAAAAGTTTAGTGACACTCTAGAAACTATCTCCAGGGGTATACTACCACCAATCAAAACTCGTGATGACATCAACCTTGCAGTAGCCACCCTCACGTCAAATGCTCAAGAAGCACTAGAAAACTCAAAATATGCAATCAACAATAAATTATTTTATCGCGACCGTTTGCCACCTGAAATCATCAATGAAATAAATGCGAAAAATCGTCTACGGCGCGAATGGCAAAGGTACCGCGACCCGCCCACAAAACAACAACTTAACCATAAAACTGCCTTCATAAAGCTAATGCTTGCCACTCATAAGC